AAACTCAGTGTATGATAGCTAGGCATTAATGAAAACATTGTTAAATATTTGCTAATAACTCCAATAAATCATAATTAATGTGGCGTTTATTTCGTTACTTTGAGGCCCCGATGCATGTAAAAAATTCTAGTATAAAACTCGAAACACAAATGGCTGGATCTCTTAAAAGCCTTTCATTACAACGAGCCTAGAGGGCTGGCCTGCGGCCCCGATTGTCCCGCATCGTTTCGCAAGCCTGCAGGGCTTTAGAACGAACTCGCCTTCATGGCCCCAAGCAGCCAAAAGAGCCCCAAGCCTTAAAGCCGTTGTGTATCGAGTTCTATAGAGCTGAAGCTCGTTTTCACGCTGTACGTTAAACGGTATCCTCCAACGGTAAAACCCAGCAGGATTTTTACATCTCAAGTGTTGCGCTTAAGAAATTTGATGAGTTCAATGGAGGCATATGAGGAAGTGGGGTGCAATCGGTGTTTCAAGCATTTAAGTGCCCTTTCGAACTCGGGCAGGTGGCTTTGCATGTGACGAGCAGAGTTGCCAAGTCCGAAAATCGAGTTTCGGTAGATAAGTTCGACATTTTTGGGTAGAAAATCGGTAGACTCATTTTTCTTTCATTATTAAGGGCCAGAGCTGGTTGGGCAGTGCAAAACCTCACCAAAAAAAGCTCCATAAAATAGCGCGTTTTTCAAAACTTGAATTTTTAAACTTACAGGAATACTAAAATAAGCATGAGTCAGTAAGCATTTTTAGCGTATTTCTCAACTTAGTTTTCATTAGATTAACCTGAGTGAGGTAGAATAAGCAGGTTACAAATAAAATTGGTTAAAATTGGAAACATGAATGAATTGTACTTGGCTCCAAAACTCTTCAATATTTCCAGAATTTTTTTAATTTCTTTAACATTAGCAACAGACGTCACTCTTGTAATTCACTATCATTTATTAAATTTGGAAATATCATTGCAACATCACAAATAGATTGTAGGGAACCTGATTTCACTATCGCATGATCCAAAAAACATAATTTTATCGTATTTATATGGCGGGCTTTATTCAGTTTATGTTTATGAAAAATCGGTAGAATTGGCATCTCTGGTGACGAGATCTCCCTTAAAGGGGAAGTTGAAAAAGTTCTCTGCTGAAACGCCTGTGGGCATCCTGCGGGCTTGGGGCTTGCAACGTATAAAGCACAGACTATTTGCAGTGCTCTTGCGGCCTGATCGACCAAGCTTTCAATTTTCTTTTAGACTTTTTAGAGACGTGGGATAAAAAATACCGACAAAACAATTGCCTAGTAAATTGGTACTTTTTAAAATACTGAAACAATAAATATTCCACATTAGTTTTATGGTCCTTAAGTCCTGAGTTTGACCAGTTTTGAAAATATGGGCCTCGAAATTGATGTTTTCATTCAAGTGGTACGTTGTAGCATTTAAAAATTCGCAGCTTCCAAAGTAAGGCAAGCAGCAACTGGAAACTAATGGGTTTTTCGGGTTTTTAGGCCGTCGTTCGGTAGAATTTCTTCCTGACGTTTCGCAAGCACGAGTGGCTTGCATCTTCAGAAGTGGTTTGCTTGAACGCTTACGCTGCGTTCAAATTTTTTCAAAACCGAATTACCGAAACCCATCAGTCACGAGCGCGTTCAAACCGTCGATTAAATTGCTACAAGAACGGAAAAAAGTCGCACCAAGGAAAGTAGCCAATAAGAATGAAAGTCGATAATGTAAAAACAAAAGCGACGACAACAAATAATTGAATAGAACAAGTCAAAAAATGGAGAAAGCATTTTCGGTCTTCACCTGCTTAAATTGTTGCTGCCGAATTCAGATTCCGCAAAAGTAACTACAAAAAAGCGGCAATGAAAAAGTGCATTTTCAAATCATTCATCACAAAATTATGCCTCAGTTTGACGTGAAACAACCTGCAAACTTGCAAATTATTGCGCTTTAAAGAAGACATTTCGGCTTTTTGCCAACATCAGAGACCGTTTCTTC